TAATGTTTACAGTACCTTTAAGACTAATATATGTAAATGAGATCGGTTCCGATTGGCTGTACTGTATTGTGTCTAATCCAAAAAGCACTCTAGAGCTAAACTGCTGTAGGCTAAATAGGCAGAGATATGTAAATATGATTTTTTGTGTCACATCACAATGCATTAAATTCAAAACAGGCTGTTTTTGCATATTTGGACTTTACAGAAAGCTTTTACTTCATTTTTCTATGATATGTGCGCTTTAAGGTCTCTGACCTTTAACTGCAAACTTTCCTCCTGTAGTCCTGTAGTTCATGTAATACGGGTGGTTGTACCATGCAGTTCTTTAGGGGAAATCTTTACTACAGTCTCAGATAAAATGCACCTTTTATGCATCACTGGGGTGATTTAACGTCTAATTTGTAGTCAAAGCGGCTATTAAGTTCAAGTTTTTTTTTTCAAGAGATATCTCTGAGGAGATGAGATATAACATAATACACTTGCACGAGGAAGGAGAAAGTCAAAGGAAAATAAATGAAAAAAACACTGGAGTTTAAAAACTGATTAAAAGCTACAGAGAAATGTGGCTCCTAACAACCACCTGGAAGAGCTGGTAGACACCAAAACTGCCCACCATCAGATAAACAGCACTTAAAGCTTTCATCTTTGAGAGAGAGGAGAAAATCAAGCTGCTTCAGATCTGAGAACATCCACAGGTGTTTCTGTCCATCCTTCCACTGTGAGAAGACGACTCAGCGCTGTGGGTCTGAAAGGATGTGTAGCTGTCAAGAAGAACCTCACTGAGAAAAGGAGACAGACACATCAAACAAAGAAGCTGAACAATGGACTGACCACCCCAGAGTCCAGACCTCAACACCACTGAATGTGTTTGATCACTTCAGAAAATGATCAACCAACTTCTAAGACTGAACTTTGGAGGTGTGTCTGCAGATTCTTTGAGGAACTGAAAGTGAGTCTCCTGAAAAGAATGAAAGCTGGAATAATTTTTGTGATGTTTATCACTTTCTGTTGAATATTTGTGCTCTGCTTTTCCCCTGATGCTAAAAAACGAATACCTTGTGTTTTATAGCCATTTTAGTTGGAAATTAAATAAATGAATTAAGGTCTCTGACTTTTGCACAGCACTACATTTAACTGCAAACTTTCCTCCTGTAGTTCATGTAATACTGGTGGTTGTATCTTGCAGTTCATTGGGGGAAATCATTAGTGCATTGCATCATCTCTGTGTCAACACCATGTAGTCAGCTAAACAACCACAGGCTGTTAGTGTGCTCTGGCTAGCAGCAGGTCTGAGGTCAGATCTTCAAGACGATGGTCATTATTCTGAACAAAACCTCAGCGACATCCTCAGAGCAGGGGTTGCATCTAGAAGAGTGACCTCTAGGGTGTGTAATGATAAAAAAGCAAGGATTAGGCTTTAGGGGTTGGTGAATTTGTAAGGTAAGTGTAAATTTTGTGATATGTTGGAGTGGAGATTTGGTGGAAAGCTGAAATCGATGAAGATGGTTAACAAAGTATGGTGAATGTGAATTTTGTAAGATGTTGAAATGGAGATTTGGTGCTCAAATTGATGAAGACAGACAACAAATATGCAAAAAAGAGAGGAAATAATTTGAAGCCAGAATCAAGCCTAAGCTGAAGGCCGGAATGCCTTAGTTTAGTTTAAAACTCCTCGGGTCAACCACTGAAGAACTTCAGGAACATGACGACTCAAACAGCCTAAAACCACTACACACAAATATATTCAGGTCCTCCATTTGGTTAGAATCTTCACAAAACTGAGTAAAAGGTACATTTCCTGTTTTTCTTTCAACGAAGCAAACAGAATCAGCCCATGTGACGCCCAACCTGGTACCAGTCCACACAAACCATCGTGGACTGAAAGGAATGAATGTGAAAAATGACGAGCGAGTGGTGCTAATGAAATCACTCTTTTGTACAGCCACAGCGAGTCCCTTTCTCGGAAGGCCAGGACAGCGCCAGCGCCGGAGCCGTATCCATGGCAACTGCCGAGAAGGTAAACTTACAGTGTATTTGCCAATTCTCTGTTGCTTAATACTTCATTGGTGTTATTTTAACATTTCTCTTTCCAGGCAGGACTGCAGGGGAAAAAGGCGTTTTTTAGGGAAATGTTTCAGTACTGTTTTATGCTTCATCAGCACTCTGTGATCAGTTATTATTCATCAAGGTCATTTTCACCTTATGGTTTGAAGGTCTAGTCAGGACCTGATGTGAAGATGAAGCAGAATTTGAGCACTGCAGATACTGAGACTTCACAGCGATGGCGGAAGTTTCAAGGCAAATGTAAATTTACTTACAGGACTGTTTAAGGGCTCATAACCTGCTTTCTTCTTTTATTTTATAGTTTAATTAACACCCCTTTCTGACCAATTTCCACCTGTTTTGAAGGGGGTCCCTCAGTTGAAGTATGCATTTTTTAATAACACTGATGGAATCTATTTTAATGAAAACGTGTACGATTTACAAAAGAAGAAGCAAACTGAAATTTTGTCTTTGACAATAAAAAAGCAACTCAACATTAATAGAAATATTTTGTGTTTAAATACTTTTTATCAGGATTTGTTGATATGCAAAAAGATGCAGGTGTGCTGTCTGTTTTATCTCCACACGGCTGTTTTTCCTCTTTCACCTCTCATTGCTCACTACAAGGTATGAAATACAGGGGGTCCTGGGGGGTCAAGAATCCCCCTGATTAACCTCTTGTTCCCCCTTCATATCTCAATCAAAAGTATTGGGGGGTCCCTGAAAATAAATGTATTATGACGTTATGGTGTTATGCTTCAGCCACAATCAACAAGCCTCTGTCTTTGGCATTGTTGACTAACTACAGATGCTGCACTGCTCTGCCTCAGGGTGGCGCTCTAGCAAATTGATTCACCCAGTTGGTCCTTATAGCCCAGCTATGCCCAGGATATCTCTGAAAACTTTACAATATGCCATAGAACTTCTGTAAGTCTGAAAACTTGCTCAATTTTCCCAAGAGACTGGTGGAAAGAGTGAATTGTTATTTCTCAAACTGAAAAAAGGGGAGTTGTTTAAGATCTTAATGTGTGGAAGAGCCAAACTAGGAAAGAACATTTCCAGAAGAAGAATTATTTAACCAAACATTTTGTCAGTCACAACATTTTACATACAGAAGGACAAGTGTCCTAGTTAATCTGATAAGAGTTCTAGGTTAAAAAAAAAAAAAAATATATATATATATATTGTTTTTGATTATATTAATCACAAATATTTGAGTTGATTTTCATTCCACCAGTGGAATGTCCACTAGAGGGCCTACAGAAAGACGTTTGCATTGGTTTATGTTACATAATTTTATTTAACAACCCTTTTCTAACATTTTTTTAACCCCATAAACTCAACCAGCATGGTACCCCACAAAGTCGCTTGGTTGAATCTGCTGCCCGGAGAGTTTTGTTGTACACGTCACCATTTGCAAACGTGAAATCATTTTATCAACTTCAGCATGTAGAATCAGAGCTTTCCGTGAGCTGCTGTGTTTCCTATCACTACATAAAAGATGCATGAGGCTTCCTTTACTATTGGATGCACAACGTTTTAAGCGCAAACTATTGTTTTGCTCAATAAGAGCAATAATAAAGCAAGACTGATTCATGGTTAGTTAAAATAGATTAAATACAAATCTCAGAACTTTCGTCTTTGTTAGATCACGTTCTTAACATATTAAAATAAAAGCAACAGCAGCATTGAGAAATCATGAGATTAACGGAAGAGGGTCAATTAACCGGCAGACCAGACACTTTGCACTGGGCTTAAGGGGTTAAATCTGCTTAGTATTTAAATAAACTCTTCTGATAGGTTGTATTTTGCCTTATTCAAAAAGCAGTCTGTACTGAAACAGTCCTTATAACGTCAGCGTGAATGGGTGGAGCTAAACTGCTGTACGCTGAACAGGTGGAACTATGTAAATGTGCTGGTTTTCATAAAATAAAAACACTAAATTAAAACAGCCTGTTTTTGTAGATTAGTGGATGGCATGTTTTGAAAGTTTAAACATGTTTACATATTACATCAACCCCTTTCATTTGAACAATTGGAATATTTGTTTTTGCATTTTATGGGCCATCAAAAAGTGAGAACACACTGACTCCCAGTGTGCACATCACATGCACTTTAATCTTCTTTAGGGATTTGTCAACAATAGACCTTCGTTTTCTCCACAGAGAATACTGACAGTTTACGTCTGTGCTGTAGAAAAGTAAATGCATGGTTGAGATCTGAAGTTTCAGCCTTGTTGAACCAAGATACAGATATTTTAAGCATTCAGACAGAACCTTTTTGTAAATGGGTGCCATTACAAACAAGCCTGGCTTCTTATCATGACAAAGACTGGTGGAAATCTGACTTGCAGATCAGCCAATTTAGCCAGACCATTTGGACCAGCCAAGTCATATTTCTCAGAGGAACAGTAAGACAGATCTAGCTGACTCAGTCTCACCCATTAATACGCATTTGCTTTTACATGTGCTTTACAATTATTACATAATTTCATTACCATGCAGTGAGCAAAAGGGATGTTCTGTTCTATGGAGTAAAATATCTTAAAGATATGCTAATGGGAGCCAAAAACAGGTGCTAACTGTCTAGATCAATGAGTCTACAAATGAAAAGTCATTTTTTAAGCAAGCAGCAGCACCAACACTCCACGTTTAACTCCTTAACCTTCATGGGAACAGGCGGCAGGTCTAGACTTCCAATCCTCACGGAATCATTCTGGATTGTTTTCCATGTAGTTCCTGAATAACAAGCTTAAGATGAGGATGTAGACATGCAAAGAAGCTGAAGGTGTCGCTACTTATAACTGCCAGTCAAGTACGTCAAAAGCAGCAGTTAAAGTCGAGATGTCGGGAAACAAATTATAATAATAAATGAGAACAAAAACAGGTGCTTGGACCCCTTCTAACAACTTCTTGAAAACAAACTACAAAGCTGCAGCATCCTCGAGTCAAGCCTACCTTGGGTCAGGGTACCCGTGAGGAACCTGTAGAAGTAGCGGGCCACTTTGGTCAGCTGCCGCTTGCACCTCTTCCTGCAGTGGCTCATGGTGGGGTCAGCCGGTTCCCTCGGACAATCAGGAGGAACGGGGAAAGCGTGCCTGTTCCTGCTTCTCAGCTTCGCTCGTTTACCTTCTCCTCCCTCTTCCTCTCTCTCTCTCTCTCTCTCACTCTACCTCTCGTTCCTCAGAGCTTCCTCCTCTTCGCTCGTGGGGCGCAAGCTGTCAGTCACAGTCGAGGTTGTAGCCTCCTCCCTCTTGTGTTCCTGGCACGAGTGCCTCCTTCACCGGCACACAAACCTGGATTCACTACTACTACGAGTCAAGGCTCTTCAAATCCCAAGCTTCTTTCCTTTTTTCCCTCCTCCCTTTCTAGTCTTCCTTTTTCTTTTCCTCTCCTTGCTTGCAGGGTACACCAGGCACAGAAGGTATCTCTCGTAGAAGGCAGGTAGGAAAATGTAGGGGGGGGGCAAAAGCAAACACTAATTAGAAAACAGCTTCTCCTCACCCGTCACGTCATCGGCCTCCAGGGAGCCTAGGCACGGGACGCTGGCGGTGAGCCTATCTCTGCTGCAGAAGGCAGGTGTGTAGACGGCAGGCACGAGTTCACCTCAGAAGGACAAGAAAAGTGAACGGAACCAGGTGGAAAGGCCAACTCTCCCCACTTTCTTCAAGCGAAGCCTTTTCCGTTCAAAAGGAACAGAACTTCCTTATGGACGGGACCGCTTTTAGGATATAATCCTAAGATTAGAACAGTTGCTAGATGCTAGAAAATGGTCTCGAGGAAGCTGGTGGATCAGCGGAATGGAAGCAACGACAGCAGCCGGAGAGAGAAAGAGCAGCGGTCTTCAGCGTCCAGTGTCCATTAACTGTCCACTGGGGGCTGGAGAAGTGTAAGAATTGCTTCTCTTCCACGATCCGTCAGTCAAGCAGAGGCAACACTTCAGTCAACATCTCTTCAAGGCTGCTGCTCAGAGGCTCCGAGGCAGCTTTGACCCATGAGTTACAAACACATGCGCCGTTTTACTACAGGGAACAGGCGCGCTCCCGGCTTATTTGCTCTGCCACACTCCCTCATTTCATTTGTTTTCTCAGCGCATTGATCTGTGGTTAAGGCTCACTCGCTCGCCCGCTCTCTCTCTCTCCCTCCCTCTGCTCGCCTACTTCGCTGGATGCTGTGAATTAGAGGTGATTACGGTTGCCCGGGCAACCGCAGACTCCGTCGATCTTCCGGCAGCCAATCCTCACGCTTCCTTTTCACCCGCTCTGATGTACCAAAGCCAAAACAAACAAAACAAGCTTTCGGCATGCGCGTGTGTGTGTTTATAGAATGTGACCACCACAGTCATACTTAAAGTGTGTGTGTGTGTGTGTGTGTGTGTGTGTGTGTGTGTGTGTGTGTCCATACGTGGACTGGAAAACCAGAGAAAAGCAGGCAGTCCACAATATCAGGACTAACAAAATGGTTCTAACTTTGTACAGCACATTTTACCAAAGCTACGTGCTTCACTGTTTAAATATAAATGCAAACTTGTCACAAGAATTGCGTAGATTTGATGAGTTTTTGCTGCATCTCCCTCAAACACAGCACAGCAGCAGTTCACAGTCATTATCCAGCCAACAAACAGATACTGTACTTATTTTATATTGACCAATCAGAACTACGCTCATGTTACTGCAACATGAAAAGTAAGTTTCATTGTTACGTATTAAGATATCTTTCTGTAGAAGTTTTCAAAGAGGGGGTGACAAAAGGAGAATATACTGTTAGTAACTGGAACAACAAGCTTCTGTTTAGTTTTTGTCTGATATCGATGTAGAACACACTGATTTTTGTGTACCGTGAGAGAAAAACGATCGCCTATGAATTACATTGCAAGTGGCAATCACTGGGGTCCAAGCACTATGCAACATTACGCCGCTAGTAGAACACAAATGGTAGGCAATGTTTTTTTGAGGTGGGGTCTCAAAAGGGTGCTATGGTACGCAACATTTAAGTAGAACTTAAAATCAATATAGTTTACTCACGTGTTTTTAATGTATGTTTAAAACTGAAAGGACAAATGCATTTCTTCCTGGTTAATGAGGTTAAAGTCAGGGTTAGGTAATTACATGTAGGTAATTAAATGCATGATGTATAATCATACTTTTTTATACTGTGCCTTTTGCATGCTCATACAAGCTTTAAACCGATACGTCACTTAAGAAAGCTACACAAGAATAAATAGTAGTGGTTTACCATGGCTTGGGCTTTAGATCAAGACATAAATGTTAGAAGTCTGTCAAAAATGAGGGGAAAATATACCTCTATGATTGAATTCTAGTGGCATTTAAGCACTTCACAGCAACATTAACATTTTTCGGCATTCTTAATTTAACACAGGCGTGTAAAGCTTGTCAAAAACAGTACATGTCTGATTTGAATCTTGTTACAGACATATTAAAATATTTTAAACTGCAGCTCAGTAAAGAGCCCTGGAATAGAGCTGCCACTGTTAGATTTCTAACAAATGACTCATATTCAGAGACAGTGAGGTATCCACCTAGGAACAGAATAAATCTTGACTGGATTATGTTCAAGAACTAACCCTTAAATTAGCAGAAACAACAACTACAAAACTTGCAGTATTTAATTACAACAAGGGCGATGAATGTATTAAATAAAGATTAACTAAAATATTTTACATAAATAATTAGGCCTTCTCTGAAGGCCTAGAAGGCCCAGAGGGTTTCCCCACTGCTAATTCATCAACAGTATATTTAGCAGTATATTAAGGAGCCAAGATACAAGACAGCACAGCTTCAACAATCTATTCAAAAACAAGAGAGAGAAATACAGTGAAAACAAATAAGTCAAATGTTTATGTGCGCAAGGAATGAGGATTACCAGCAGAGAAGCAAATGGCAGAACATTGACCTCATATGGAGACTCATGATTGTTTCTTTAATCAATTATGCGGTTCCACATACGGCTGAACAATATCGGGGAAATATCTAATTGCAATTTTTCTGAACAATATTGCAATTGTGATTTAAATGCAACCATAAATTAAGTAGCAGGCCTTTTTTCCAGAAGAACACCTGCAAATCCATTTCTTTGGATTCGAGGCTTCAATGCTAAACGTGATGTCCCCAACAGCTACTTCATGGATATTATGTTATTAGGTTAAATTTCCAAATTCCTAATTCTTGCTAATACAACCTTAAATAAGATATAATTTAAACTGCAGCTCTTGCTATTTAAAAAAAATGAACTCTTTCACATTACAGCTTTGATATGAGAACAACTGATCCTTTAGCCCTAGTTCTGCTAACATGTTGTCACTGTTGGAACAAAACCTCACATCTCCAAAGCGGTAACTTTACAGAAGGGAAAAAACAGCAGTTATTTATTCCAAGTAATTTTGGGCTGTTTCTATTCTGTCTTTCTGTCCATATCATTTTGACACAGCGTAAAAAGAGCTGGCATTTTAAAATGTCAAATATATTCACTTAATGAATATTCAAGACTATTCAATGCTACACTGTGAAAGAATCAAATCTGCTAGAGATCCTTCCAGCATTCAGTCCTGCACACCGCACTGTACTGACTGTTGGTCTTTGATGCTCGAATTGCGTTAGTTGTGTATTTATTGTGCTGGACTTCGTGGTCTTAAAGGGAAGTTTTGTCCTTTGCACTGGAGGCCCTGGAGTTTGACCAGTAATTATGTCAGCTGTGTTCATCTCTTGTATTTTATTATTATAAGAGGTCAAAAAAAATGATGGATCTTGATCCATCTGAAAGATTTAATTACACTGATTTTGGAATGTTAGACCTGATCATCATCAATTAAAATAAAACTCATTGTTTTGTCCAAACTAATATTATTATTAGTATTATTAATTTCAAATTTTAATATGTATAGAAAATGTCCAAAACGAATCTCTCTAAAATCACTCTGAATAAAAGTGTCACTATCCCTATATATCCCTATTATATATATATATATATATAGGCCATTTCTATTGGGCAGCTGGTGTTTCCAAATGGCACAGCCCTAATAAACTATGAGGTTTTGATATGTTGATATGACAGCAACAGTGTGCTTGTTTCTGGATGGAATACAAATATTTGAGCCATACATAATTAACATTCTCTCAACCCTTCATGTGGAAATATGTTGAAACCAGAGCACCCCACTCCCCCCCTCCAGCTTGGATCTAACATAAAATGGACATCCGGCAAGATTCCCACTAATTAGGAGCATGCAATGGGTCCAGAAGTCCAAATAATGAGCAAGTGCTCAGAAAAGAACACGGAAAGGTGGCCATGTGTGCACGTGACCTTAACACGATTGGTCTGACGCCGTCACCTTCACCCATCTCCTCCAATGCTGTAGCTTTAAAAGGCTCAGCACCAGCACACTGACCTTCTCTCTCTGTCTCCATTCATAATCCCATTCAAGGTACTTCAGAGCACTGACACGTCAGACCCTGCTGTTCCAGTTCTTCAGACTGTCTTAAGCAGGCAAACTCCATCGGGATAGTGACACAGTTAGTTGAATAAATCTATGTGTATTTTTAAAATAATCTATAAAATGAACCTTCTCAGTGAGTGGGCAGTGATATGGTTTTTGCATAATGCAAAAGCCTGTTTTAAATTCTTCTGGTCTCTCTAAAGGCCACTGTACAGTGTAGCGTGTGTTGGATAATAAAGCAGAGCTACAGCACTGTGTCACAGTGATAAACATCAAACTCAAGTTTTATTAGTTTTCTTTTGCAATCTTACAGATATGATGGAGTGTAATACAGTATATCTGAATATGATAGTTCTAAATGCACAAGTCTGTTTATCTTGAAGACTTTAAATTGGTTTGCCTTTTGAAGTCTGAATTTAATGCACTAATAGCAAAAGTACTGGAAACTGCAAACTAGTTTTGAATAGTTTTGGTTTTAGACACTGTATGCTCAGTGTCAGTGTGTGGTGGTCTTTACAGCAGTGTTTCTCAACTCTGGTCCTTAAGGCGCACTGCTCTGCACAATTTCGTGTTTTCCCTGCTCCCAACACACCTGATCCAACCAATCAGCTCATTAGCAGCCCATTATTGAGTTAAAGAAGGTGTGTTAAAGCAGGAAAAATGTGCAGGGCAGTGGGCCCAGGGTTGAGAAACACTGCTTTACAGTAAGAAACAGGGCCTTATAGCCACAGCATTACTATATACTTTATGTACTATAAATGTTTTTGTAACAAAGTTTTTATATGTTTTTAAATGAAGTCTTTTTGATGTAATGTGCAGCACTGAAGGTAAAGTAGACACAGATTTTGATTTGTTTAACACCTTTTCATTCGACATGAACATGTGGAAACATGTTATACAAAGTTTTTCTACTGGATAAAACAACACAAACACCTTTATAACAAATAAAAC